TTTCTGGGACTAAAATGTAAGTGGAATAACATGCACATTGCTATGGGGAAGGTTGCTACAATTGCAGGAAAAATACTAAGAAGATGAACAGATTGTAGTCTTTTCAGCCAGTCTTATTTATTGTATAATGTGGATATATTAGAAAATAATCATCTTGAGTCCTTGGGCAAATAACTTGTAAGCACTGACTATGTGCCAGTCATTGTACTAGGCTCTAGGTAATTAGTGGTGATCAAAACAGACAAGGTGATTCTGCCCTTGGCCATTTCTGCTGGAATCTGGGAGCTCTTGGGTTGGGAGCACCTTGTGGTGGGCGCACCGTGACTGGGTCAGAGACCAGAGAGGTGGACAGGATAGTGGTTGTTGCAAGTGTGTGGTTATGGTGAAGAGTTTGGACTTTATTCTAACTGTAATGATAAACAATCACAGGTTATCTGCAGGGGAATCCAACTTCAGTTTTATAGGGATTATTCTGGGTGGTTGTGGAAAAATGGTTGGTGGGAGAGAATCTAGTTAGAGAGTTTGTTACAATGCAGGCAAGGTATGATAGTGCCTTAGATTGGAGTAGGGCTCAAGAGCTAGAAAGAAGGAGATTGACACAAACTGTGGACAAATTAACCAACTGTGGTGGATGGGATGTGAGGATAGGAGGGCGATGAGGGCCAAAGGGCAGGTCAAGGATGTTTCTGGCATCTCTGACTTGAACAGCAGGGGAGAGGGGAGATTCTGTGTCCTGAGATGCTGAATGCAGAGGCACAGAATTGGAAGGGATGGGTCCAGTGTTCAGCTTGGGGCAGGTTGAGCGTGAGGGAAAAATGTGTTTCTGAGCTGGGGGAGTGCAGGGAGGGACTAGCCTGCTCTTCCTTGGGCGGTGGTAACTGTTTTATGGTCTGGGTACAAGTTAAAATAAATAAATCACTTCCCCAAACCAAACAGGCTGAACCGGTTTCCAGCTTATAGATGAGTTGCTATAACGGATCATGCCTCTGTGGTCTCTCTTCCAGCTCAGCAGTCTGAAATTTTGTATATATTTGATGAGCAGGATGAAACAACATTTATTTACAGTCAGTGCTCGCTTATTGTGATCTCTTCTCTTTGGTATTCTTAGAACTATGCTTGCCAGGTCCGTGGGGTCAAGTTACAGATTTGATCTTCGCATGGACCACAGGGATTTTCTGTTACCGTGTTAGAAGTGGCATTCTTCACTTTTGAAGGCTGACTTGATAGCTTATTTGGAAGGAAAGTGGGCCATAGAGTTGGTAGGAAGTATGCCCATTTATCTTTGCTACTGAACACTCCAGACTTACGTTCTAGCCATACTGTACTCTAGTGGCCATCATTGATAAACATGGATCCCAAAATATATTCTGCACATCTCACATTGGCAATGCTTCTATCTGCCTTCCCATTAAGGTTACATTTGTTGTGAACAGGAACCACATCTTTTTATTCATCCTTTGATTTGCTACAGCCAATATTTTTTTTCCCCAGCAAATAGAAATGGGTTATTTAGGGGCTGCAGTTGTAAGGGTTTTGTTCTTTGCGATGCCTCTGCAGTTAGGCACAGAGATCGGCATGTGCTTGGCACTTTATATTTATTAAATAGAGGAGTGCCTGAGGAATGGCTAAGTAGACATTTTGTGAGAGGGAAGGGGTAACTCAGTTTTCAAAAGCCAAGAGAACAGACAGGCAGTATTCTTCCTATAAGATTATGCCTCTGGAACCTATTGAGAAATTAAGGGTGCAGAATGGAAATTCGGGGATCCAAACGACAAAATGCATTCTAGAAACCACAGGAGTGGAATTCCATGAGTGTGTGCCAAAGAGAGCAAGAATAGAGGCAAAAGGAAAAACAGAGGAAGGGGGATTGCTAGAAGCGGGGGATGACACCACAGGAGAGCACAGGATCCCAGGAAGGCCCCAGTGGAGGTCATGGTGAGAGGGATGCTCAGGGAAAGGGACCATTGGATTTGGGCAGAAGTCAAGCAAGTGCAAAATGAGCCTGGATGTAGTGTGAAATAATATTGGGGAAGTTCCGCTATCTTTTTTTTTTATACTGCTCATCACTAATGATTCCCTTTGGGGTGGGGGGGATTTTTCTTAAGCAAAGACCCAATTAGTTTTGATTTTGTGCTGTGCATAGCCTAGCGTCATAGAACACTATTTGTACTGAGATCAAAGCGTTCATTTTTGTGATTTCTTGTAAGCTGATTACTTAAAAATCAGGGCCAGATTTTTCCGTTGCTCCTATTATAGATATTGAGGTTTTACACTAAAATTATTTAGGGATGAGGTGCCTGGGTGGCTCAGTGGGTTAAGCCTCTGCCTTCGGCTCAGGTCATGATCTCAGGGTCCTGGGATCGAGCCCGCATCGGGCTCTCTGCTCAGCAGGGAGCGCTTCCCCCTCTCCCTCTGTCTGCCTCTCTGCCTACTTGTGATATCTCTTTCTGTCAAATAAATAAATAAAATCTTAAAAAAAATAAAATTATTTAGGGAATGTTGCCCAAAAAAACCACAGTAATTGGAGATTTGAAAATAGACTTGAATGTCAATGTGAAAAATATAGACTGTTTCTCTACAATAGCCCAGGAGCTCTTCAGTTGAAATTTTGTTAAGTTCTCTATTTCCTGAGAATGCTACAGAGCTATAATAATAAGCTCATCAAAAAAAAAAAAAAAAAAAAAAAACTTGGATTGTGCTAATAACAGGGGTGTACACAAACACACATATACACATTAATGTGTAACTTTTTCTTGGTCATTTCTTAGAATGCATATGGGAAGAGGATGGGGGGAGTACATTTGAGCCTTGTTCAGATGCTACCATTTGCATAAAGCTTTTTCTGCACAGGTGAGATTACCTCAGAGTATTGAAAAATGTAGCCACTGTATATTTAGCATCTGCTTCATTCCAGATGTGTTACAATAATCCTGGAAAGGAGGTATTATCGTCTCTGGTTTAAAGCAAAAAAAGTGAAGTTCAGAGAGTTTAAGTAATTTGCCCTAGGTCTCAGAGCTTCTAAGTAGAACTGTACCCATTTTTGCCCCAAATCTCACGTACCTTCCAGTGTCCTGTCTGAATGAGAATCTTTGATCAGAGTAAGTCACGTATTTGGTTCGGGGCCTAGGAAGCTCCATAGATAAAAACCACTAGATGAGAACTTTTTCCAGCATCCCGGCCCTAATCTGCCTCTGGACCTATATCTGCAATTGACATTTTTCTTCTTCCTTCCTATTACAACAGACACGGTTGTTCTCTCTAAGGACTTGATTCTTTCTGTGTATCTTTTGCATCTTTAGTTTGTCTCTTTCTTTGCTAGCTTCTTCCCATAAGGATAACCAATGCCCTCACCAAAGCAAATACCATCTGTATTGGTTAGTGATTGCTGTATAATATACCACTCTAACTCTTGGTGAAGCTACAGTCTGATTTATTTAGCTCACTGTTCTGTGGCTCAGCAAATTAGGCTGGGCTCTGCTGGACTCACTTCTGTGACTGTGGTCAGCTGCTGGTCAGCTACACAGCTTTGCTTCAGGGGCACGAGCTGGCTAGTGGCCAGTGCCATCAGGGTGACTGGAGTTTGTGTCTTTCCTCATCTAGGAGGCTAGCCCAGATGTGTCTACTTGGTTGCTTGAGAGCATTTCCAGAAAGAGCAGAAGGCTGTCGGTCATCTCAAGGCCCACACTGAGAACTAGTGTCCTTTTGTCTGCGTACTGTCAGCTGGAGCAAGTCATAAGGACAGCCCAGGTTTGGGGCGGGGTGGGGGGGCGGCAAGTGGGCACAAGGTGGAGAAATACTGCTGAACTTCGCACTCTTTCTTGTTACTAACTCCATTTTATTCTGTAAGACCACACTACAGACTAACACACCTCAGGCTGACCCATGTATCTCAGATGTGGTCTTCTGCTGTCACTGCATTCAGACCATAGTGTGGCAATGGTTAGCTTACTTCTTAGCAGGAAATGAGTTCCTTAAACACGGTGACTGTGTTTCAATCTAGGATTCGGCACATAGCAAGTGACTTTTAAAAGCAGAAATTTGGGGTGCCTGGGTGGCTCAGTCAGTTGAGCATCTGCCTTTGGTCCAGGTCATGATCCCGGAGTCCTGGGATCAAGCCCTGCATCAGGTTCTCGGTTCGGTGGAGAGCCTGCTTCTCCCTCTGCCTTTGCCTGCTCCTTCTCCTGCTTTGCTCTCTCTCTGTCAAATAAAAAAATCTTAAATGAATGAATGAATGAATGAATGAATGAATGAATGCAGAAATTTTTGTGATGATAAAGCAGCCTAGCAGTTGGTAACTGGCATTATGGAGTAGAAGATAGTAAATCCTTGCATTTTAAAATCTGCCTATGGAAGTTTAAAAGCTTTGGGGTGGGGCGCCTGGGTGGCTCAATGGGTTAAGCCTCTGCCTTCAACTCAGGTCATGATCCCAGGGTCCTTGGATCAAGCCCCACATCTGGCTTTCTGCTCAGTTGGGAGCCTGCTTCCCCTTCTCTCCCTGCCTGCCTCTCTGCCTACTTGTGATCTCTGTCTGTCAAATAAAAGAGAAAATCTTAAAAAAACAAAACAAAACTTTGGGGCGGATTCTATTGACTATATCAAAATTAAATATTTCTTTAAAAAAATTAAGGTGGTAAAGAATCCTGTTCAGCATTCTGAGTAGAAATCATTATTAAATATTTATACACTGTCTTTCTAGGTTTTTTACGAGGTTACAAATTTGTTTATAAGAAGACAACTCTTTTTTTCATGGCATATTTGTCAGAGAAAGCATACGTATCCATTAACTAGTCCGTTGGGATTTGGGAGAAAATTTCTATTTTAGAATGTAAAATGAGGAAGGACAGCATCCTGATGTTACTCTGGAAGACACTGAAAAAAAAAAATGTTTCTCTCAGATGGGATGTGGGATATATACAATGTAAGCTCATCTATAAGTGAGCATGCCTTATCGGTGTATTAAGTTTTAATTGACCGATTTTCATGTGCATTTTATGTTTTAGGTTTGGCTGCCTGTATATCTTTCCCGATTCCTAAAACCTGACCGTGTGTCCGCAGCACTGGTTTGATATCCAACTATGCAGCGGAGATCAAGGGGAATTAACGCTGGACTTATTCTGCTCCTCTCTCAAATCTTCCATGTTGGGATCAGCAATATTCCACCCGTTACCCTCGCAACTTTGGTTCTCAACATCTGGTTCTTCTTGAATCCTCTGAAACCGCTGTTCGAGTCCTGCCTTAGCGTGGAGAAGTGTTACCAGCAAAAAGACTGGCAACGCTTGCTGCTTTCTCCTCTTCACCACGCAGACGACTGGCATTTGTATTTCAACATGGCATCCATGCTCTGGAAAGGAATACATCTGGAAAGAAGACTAGGCAGTCGATGGTTTGCCTATGTCATCGTCACATTCTCCTTGCTCACTGGAGTGCTGTACCTGTTCTTGGAATTTGCTCTTGCAGAATTTTTGGATGAACCTGGCTTCAGAAGCAACTGTGCTGTAGGTTTCTCAGGTAAGGCAGACAAATCGCTAAGGGAGCATGCATGAAGATAGTAAGGGAGGTGTCACTGTTGACATTTTATGAAGCGAGCGTCCCTATTTGGTGAGGAACTGAATTCTGAGTGGCTAAGGATTGCTGGAGCTTGGTCTTTGGAGAGAAGGATGATTGGAGCAGGGGAGAGAAGATCATGCTATTCTGTTTTAATGCTGCATCATTCACTCTTGGACAGTTTGCATCAGGGTCTGCTCCAAGGTAGTTTGTAGGAGATACAGTTCTAGAAATACACACTGGCTCCTTCATGGTGGAAAGACCCAGTGGTGTATCTGTGATAAGGAGTTCTCTAAAACCGTAAGTATGCCTCTCAATAACCTCTTAAATCCATGTACCACACCTTACGATGGCACGCTCACTGTGTTTCAGGAACCATGATGGTCACTCTCCCTATATCTCAGAGGACGGAAATGGCCATCTGGGCCAAAATGAGGTGTTCTAAGAATTAGAATGTGAAGAAGAGGGAGGCAAATAGTGCTGTAACAGAAGGAAATCTAACTCTTCTCTCTACTTTCCCTGCCATCTGGCCCTCTTCCCTTTAAGATACATCCTCATAGTGCCAGTTGTGGGAGAAGAAAGGAAACATGCCCTACCCTCAACATGTCTTTCCAAAGAGGTTTGAAAAATACACATTTTCAAAGTATTTCCAAAAAAATACTGCTCTTTTTTTTTATGGAGTTAAAAATCACATAGCATAAAATTAACGATTCTGACATGAAGAGTTCAGTGGCATTTAGTACCATTTTTGGTATTTTATTCCCATTTTACATGTTGTCTATTTTCCAGCATACTGAAAGTCAGTATAAACTTCTGCATTAAGAAACATCCAAAGAACGATTACCTTGCACATTGTCTTTCTACCAAAAGCTGGGTTGACTTGTAAAGAAAAGGGTGTTTCAAAACAAGAAGTGGGATATAGTCAAATAATCATTTTCATTTTCAGTTAGTTTTCTTTGTAAACGTGGATTATTGCCACATTTGGATGTTGATATTTGTGTGCTCTTTACTCTCTTCTAGGAGTTTTGTTTGCTTTGAAAGTTCTTAACAACCATTATTACCCTGGAGGCTTTGCCAACATTTTGGGCTTTCCTGTACCCAACAGATTGGCTTGTTGGGCAGAACTTCTGGCTATTCATTTCATCTGGCCAGGGTAAGTGTTTACTCCCAGAGAAGACAAATGTAGAACCTGATGTTCCAGGGAGAAAACCTTGTAATAATAATGAGGTAACCGGTTTTTGTTTTGTTTTGTTACAGCAAAGTTTATTCTTTAAGGACGGCACTGAGCCTACTCGTTTTAATGTCAGACGTTTCTGAGTTTGAATCCCGTCAACTGCCAAGCCCTGTGATTTGGGTCACTTTGCCTTGTCCGAGCTTTGGTGCCCTCACCCTTTAAGTAGGAACAAGAGACCCTGATACACAGACTGGAGGATCCGTATCCATGAGACTGTCTATTCCTGAATTCTAATAATAGTAATGCAGAGAGGCACGTAGAAACCACATAATCATAGAGATAAAAAAATTACAAGACATGTTGGCCTGGTACTTTTAAGCCATCTCAGTTGTGAGGTGTCTTGGTGATAGAACTCTTTAAACAGAAGACTTGACTCACAATCTCAGTATGTAAAATGGATCCATGATGAACTCTTTAGGGTTGAGAGCAAGCTTGGGCCCCATTCCCTTCGTCTTACCCCCGTCTTGCTGTGGTTATCTTAGAGGCAACCCTAGGGGCTCCAAGGAATACAGTGGGGGAGCCACTAATCTAGATGAATCCTTTCCTTTTCAGATGAGGACAAGAAGAGTTGGAGGTCAAGGTACTTTTCGAAACACTTCTTGGTAGACGCTAGCACAGTAAGGCTGCAGACCTCCTGACTCCTGGTCTGGTGCTCCTGGCTGGGGTGCTTTTCCACTTTGGTTCCTTTCTCTGCTTTTGATTAGAAAGAGGAGGGTGAATTGTGCTATTCTCCCACCTCCCACCAGTTTTGCTTCCCTTATTCTGTACAGGCTACTGGAAGCACATGGTTTTTGTTTATTTTTACTGTAGGGACCTGGATAGATACTCTTTGGAGAAGGAGGAAATTCAGGAAGAAGTAAGGAGGGTGTTTTGTTTATTTTTCTTTTAAATTTTTTAAAGTTTTGGCCATTTTTCCTTTCAGACAGTTTTATTTTGCTTTTGGTTCCTGTGGCTGTGTTGGGTGTTGTACTTTATTTGAGAATTTTCTCTCTCCTCCATGCCTCAGCCCAGTAACCTAGAGAGAGAGTCCCTTCTCTAATGCTAATTTCCCATCATGGGCAGCCATTGGCAGCTGGTCTGCAAAAGGCAGTGATGTGACCACTGAACACCGCTCATTTGCAACTGTATTGTTACCTTGTGACAGTTCCACGAAGAAAGCCTAACAAAATCTTCAAAGTTTTCTTTGAAAAAGGGTCCAGTAATGTCTGTCCCTTGTCTGAACAGGCCTCTCTATACCTTGTCACTCACAGTTCCCTGACTTGCTTGATGTGACTTGTTTCTCTGTGTAGAGGAGAGACTCCTGTTTGTGACCACAACACCCAGCATTCATATTGAAATCACTCCCTGGATACTTGAACTTTTATTCCACGATGAGTCTGTTTGAATAGCCATGCCTTTAATATTCTCACGCAACCATTTCTGAAGACTCTCACTCATCGTGCACTTTATTTGTTTTTTTTTTAGGGTCCCCCCCTTCCATGGAAAAGGCATGGTTGCATTTTTATGTAATATGCTTATTCTGCATGGAGGGACCCGATATCCTGAGCCTGGGAATTACATGAAATTTCCTATCTTTGAAGTTTGAGAGAATGAATCTTTTGGTGTTTTAAGATTTGACTACTTTGAATGATAAACTTCTGATACCCAAGCATCTGCTTCTGCCTGTGTCTAAATAAAGACCAAGCTAAACACTGGTCCAGGAAACTAAGAAGCGAGGAGGAGTGCTTCTTTGAGATGGATCTTGGAAGAATGGAAGAAACCAGAGCTCTCTTTGCTCTGCATTGTTATTCTCCTGGTGGTTGTCAATTAGAATTTGCACTGGGAAAACACTGTAAATCTTTAGAACAAAGCCTGCTTTATTGTCAGACTTAATGAGCTGCCCTCTGGGGAGAAAAAAAACCTGCCAAGCAAACATTTGGTGGACCTCTGTGTTTTAGGAAAGCCACGGAATTAGTAATTTCCCCCAGTTACAGCGTCTTATGGAGGGAAGCCACTGCAAACAGCTAGCCATTAGGCACCGTGAGGGGTTGGACTTGACCAGGGGAGTGAAGTAATCGCACTCATCTGCTGGTGCTTTTGCTTTTCACAGTACTTGTTTGTCCCTTGTTTTCAGTGATTGCTGTGCCTTATATGGTCTTTCCATTCCCTGGCTTGTCCTGGGACCCTGCTAGGGGACTATGTTTGAAGACCTGTCCCTGCCCCAGAGGCAGCCCAGCAGGGAAGTGTACATGGCCCAGCAGGAGGCTGCCTCCTAGTAGACTGGGTTCTTGATCCTTCCCACCCCCTCCCCCTCCTGTAGATGGAAGAAAGGGGGTCTGATGCCAAGTGTTACTTCTAACCTCTGCAGTTTCTCAGATGAGCCCAAGGCTCTTTAGTCCCAAACTGAAGCTCGGGGAAATGAACATTGGCACACTGTGAGACAGCCCCACAGTGACTGCACTCGAGGACAGTGGTCATGTGTGAAAGATCTGGGCCGACATGCTAGCCGTGGGACCTCCGGGGACTCCTGCAGCCTCTCTGAGCCTCAGTTTCCTCCTCTGTCCATTGGGAATGTTACTTGCTTTCACTGTTTCCTAAGTCAGTTTTGAGGAGTCCAAGAGATAATCTATATAAGGGTGTTTATAAAGTACTTCTCTCATCATTTTTATTATGAGCTCAATCTCTAGAAGTGTGTAGTGTCCCTGAAATGAATCTTATTTCTTTTTCTTCCTAAAATCAATAAAATAAGTCAAACTGTTTGCTTCAGTTCTGTCTCTCCCCTGCCCCTTGATCCTGCTTGACTTTTCCACCCAGAATGACAGTTAGCAGTCTAAAAATTCCCTTGGGCTACTCATAAACACAAATTAAGCGGGCCATGACTGCATTTGGATCCTAAGAGATTCTTTTGTATAATACAACAGTTCCGAAAACATTAGCCCCTAGGCTTTGGTACTCCGTCACTGCTAATGTTTGATGAGAGGAATTACTCTGACTCTACGAAAAACTTCTTGGTTAGATTGACCAAATGAGAGAAAAATAAATTTAATACCTTTTTTACTTATTCCAGTTTTTTTAATTATAAAAATTTTCAAAGTAAAGAGAAGCTGCTGGACCATTTGAAAGTAAGTTGCACACATCAGAGTAACTTCACCCCTAAAAACTTCCAGCTTGTATGTCCTAAAAATATATTGCTTTATATAAACACATTACTGTCGTCGTATTGAAGAAAATTAACGGGAATTCCCCAGTGTTGTTAGTAATTAGTTTAAATTTAAAATTCCCCATTTTCCAAATGTCTTTTGTAACTGTTGTGCTTTTTGGTGGGGGGGTAGAGACATAAGAGGACTAAGATATGGTTAAAGTTCATACATTTGATTGTATTTTTTTGTTCCCTTTTAAAGGCAGTCCTTCTACCTTTTTATTTTCCTATGACATTGAGAAATAACTCATGGAAAAGTTGTGAAGAGACCAGGTTTTGTAGAATGTTCCAACTTCTCGATTTCTTGTTTACTTGTAGGGTTACTTAGCTCCTTCCTTTAGCCCCCGCATTTCTGTAAACTGGAAGTTAGGTACAAAGGTTAGGTACATCCAGATTAAACTGGGTTGTTGGCAAGAATACTTCATGGGGTGATACCATCAGGGTACACAATAACCATATTACATCATGACAGGAAGGACATAATGCCGGATTGTCCCTCTGTTAGGAATTCTAAGTTTAATCCATTAGGTTAGTGTCCATTGTAAGGATACATCTATCCCTTTGCACTTGAAAAACAATCTGGGAGTGATAATTGGACATCATGCAGATAGCTTGTTAATAACCTTCTGCCTTTTGGCTCAGTATTTGCCAGTGATGGCCCTTGTCTGAACTGGTTGTTTCAGGGGGAGCCATGAAGAATGATTTTCTGATTCTATCATTCCTTCTACACTTACTAGGTGGGGTCAATCCAGGGTTAGAGATTAAAACCCAAAGGCAAGGGACTGAGGAAGAGCAGTGTTCTGTCAAGGGGAGATCTGCGTTTGGAAGGCTTGAAGCTATTCAATGGAGTATTTGTGGGTTCTTTTTAAGGAAAAAAAAAATACAAAATTGAAAACAAAAGTAACACTTTTAAATGACAATACAAAGCACAACAATTTACAGTTTTAAAGAGCTAACAAATACTATAAACATTAAAAAAGATCCATTTAAGTAATATAATATTCTATTAACTCCCTGGCATGCCTTTATCATATCCGCCACCCCCCCGCCCCCGCACCCCGCCCCAGGTTTGGCTGAGTGCTTTTGATCTCTTCTTCATCTGACAGTAATTTGGCAGTAGCATTTCTGTAGAGAGAATAACATGGTGTATCAAAATTAATTTTCTATTGGAAGTTTAGGAGAACTTCTTTTACAGCTTATGTAAATATTTAGCTTTGTTTTCTGATTGGGAGAACATCTCCATCAAAGTGTTTTTACATGCACGCTGTAAACTTTCAGGGCTTTTCAAGATTACTTGTGCAGTGACCAATATCTAGTGTACTTTGAACGATTTGGGTGTTGTCACTGATCTTTAGTGGCATGGTAGGAAATTCACATTTTCCTCACTGATACTAATACTTTGTGCCAAATCAACAAGAAATGTAAATATTAGTGCTTTTCGTTAATTGGATTACCAGAACTCTAAAAGCCTATTTACAGCTTTTGATATGATTTGAAAATATTTTTGAGAGCTACAAACACAGGAATTCTGATAAAGTTGATTTTGCATGATTCTCAAAAGAGAAACAGAAAATGGGTAGCACATTTGTGATTGCATACACTGTGTTACCGAGTAGATTCCTGGCAGAAGAGAGCTTCTGTTTCATGGCTCTTTTCACTGTGTGTGAGTGGGAACTGAATTCCCCCATTTATAGTTTTCCATGCTTGGCGACGGGGAGAACTTTCTAGACGCTGGACTCTG